CATTACTTAATCCGACTCCATACCTAAACTTAACAACTACTTTACTAACTATTAATACGCAGCAATTTTGGAGTTTGTTCAGGGAAAACTTTTAGTTAATAGTGAATATGTGTTCCCCAATCTAAAGTGTTATATATATATATTTCTGCACCCCCAACTATGAATGAAACAATTCTAGTTTATGGTATTAACTGCTACATTAAGAAAGATGTGTCTGTATTAGAGCCTGATGTTACCTGGCAGCGCTGTGGCTCTGGGGTGCTGTGGGGCCTGTGTTTCTGCAGGAGCCGGTGACAGTCTTTCCCCGTAATCACTTTCACCAGACGAGGTGTGATCTCCAGCTCTAGAGTCTGCCCTTACATACAGAGCAGGTCTCTTTTTATGGTACTTGGCACGGTACGTGTCCGTCATGCAGCCGTCCACGGAGAAGTAGGTGCTGGGGATGACAGCAGAGCCGGCCGCAGGTTTGGGAAAGCTGGAGAACTTCTCCTCACCCTCACTCGCTGACAGATCGTTCCTGTCCTGATCAGAGGAGCCAAACTTGGAGCTCGTGTCCAAGTTTTCCAGCCACTTCTGCAGGACGGTTTGGGACAGAGCCGAGCCGTTTCGAGGAAGACGCTGAGGACTGGGAGGACGGGGATCTCGTCGCCGGTTCTCTGAACTCAGACCGTGTGGTTTGGGAGGCACTGGCGGAGCTGCGGTGTGAGACAGAGTACGAGAGGGAACATGAGGAGGAACGTCAGCACGTGATGAGGAATCCTCCAGCTCGGAAAAGGGACCGGCAAGATCGTCGGAGCTGTTCCACTCTGAACTGCTGGTTTTGGTGAAATAAGGAGAGATGGGGTTCCCGTTTACCACATGAGCTCGTTCTACCTCAGGCTTTTCCATCCTCTCCTTAACAGGGTTGTATCGAAAAGCTTGTCCTCTGCAGGAGGAAACACACAGAGACTTGTAATATCTACCTCATACTGGCCCATATGACCTTTTTTTAAAAAAAGAAGTGCACTTAAGAGTATTGAATGTGCACTTGTAGTGTACTTCAAATCATACAAGTATATATATATATATATATATATATATACACACTACAAGTCAAAAGTTTTTGAACAGTAAGATATGTAATGTTTTTGATAGAATTATTTTTTGCTCACAAAACCTGCATTTCTTTGATCCAAAATACAGCAATAAAATACACCTTAACCAGCAAATCAAGGTCTTACTAGGCATACTGGAAAGATCCAGGCAGGTGAGTTGAGGCCAGGTGGAGCTAAAGTCTGCAGGACAGTGGCCCTGCAGGACCGAGTTTGGACACCCCTGAGCTAGGCTGAAAGAATGATTCACACATAAAGACAGTCGCCACCTACTGGCGAATCAATGTTATGTGCAGCAAGAGTCACTGAACAATCCCCATTATTAACGTACAAATAACCTAGAAATGTGCAAAACACATAAAGATGAGTGAAAAGTATACATTCTCTGAATGCAAGGACCAGACTAACTAGTATAATCTTTATTAATAAAAACGTTAATAATTTTATCTTATCTTTTAACATCATACTAATCTGTGATTTTAATGTAATTGGGTCTGGGGGTGAGAAAAGATCAATAACCTCCGGGTTATAGTAAAGAAAACCTATAGTATTTATTCACATCTAGCAAAGGGGAATGTTAATAGGAAATGTGAAGTTGATGACTTGCTACTCTTATTATTTATGGCAGCGTTCATATTGCTTATTGGATTGAAGAACTGTCACAGAGAGCTAATCCAATATTGAAATGTCAGCTGCTTGATATAATCTATGTACTGCTATGTTTCCGTGCAGAATTATGCATTTATGAGAAAAATGTTTTCCAACACATCCAGACTTGATTGGGTGAGATGCCTTTACACCTTATGTTCATCAAATTGTGCCAGTTTATTTATGTCACATTCACCAAGTGTGAACTCCCCCTCTAGATCTGAACAGACACAGAGGCAAACACACTCCTGCTCTCTCGAGTAAAAATTCAGTCAGCGAGTCGGTGTCAAGATCACAGATAAGCAATGATCCCTTTGCATTTTACATTGCTTGATAAAGTCAGTGATTTGGCAAGCTGTGAATACAAAACAAGGCACATTGTCTCCAAGGAAAACGGAATGATACAGCTCATTCTTTAGCATTAGTTTATAGATGCCAGACCATCCATACTTTTCCAGATCAACCGTTTTATTACTTTTAAAGTCAACATTCCTAATATAACGTACTTTCAAATGAAACAGGACATTCGACAAAAAAAAAAAAAAAAGTAGCATAGGACTTGT